AAAGTGTTCACGATTAAGTGACATTTATTTTGAAATATCTCCTCAAATAAGTTCAGGAAAAAATAAAATCGATTTTGTGAAGTTTTGGGTTTTTCCGGATATCTCGGAAAATGTTCGGAATTTTTCAAATGTCAAAGTAGCATTTTATTGAGCGTTAAATTGCGTAACCTTTTCCTAATCTAACCAACATTGTTACTCCAACCGTTCCCCAGATCCTAATGCTACCTCATCCTTATCTTGGACACACTGTATATCCACTATTTCTATAGGCTTCCAAGTTCCAAATCCAAAGGTTCTCAATGCGGTAGATATTAAGTGATCACATACATAGAGCAAATGAGCACCTTGAAAAAGGGTCTTACCTGGATGTCTTTTATACACAATAAAAACATGTGAGGCAGATGCTTGGGCATTTTAAGATTCCATATGAATGACTGATGTTCAGTTCTAGTTCAGTTCGCTCGGTGCTGTGATCAATGAACTGACCAAAGATTTATCCACTTTTGTGGAAACTGTCTACGAATATATTGACGAAGATACGTGTCTGTAAACTTTTCGATATTACATATTTTTTGCGCTTAAATAAATAAAAAAGAATCTAACGTGTTGAAACAAATTTGTTTCTGTAATTATGTCAACACCCTATTACTTCACTAACTCCTGCCGAAGCCAGGTCCCATCAAATGACTGGCAGGATACATTTTTCAGTTATCGTAATTATTAATGAAATGCTAGAAAAAATTTCAACTTTTATAATTTATATTAGGGTGCCCCTGATCACCCGGATCTTCCGGTTGAATATTTTTTTTTATTAGCCCGGAATTTCCGGATTATTATTATATTATTATTCGTCCGGATTGTTTTTTTACTTGTGTGTGCCTGAAATTTTTTTTACTTGTGCGATAACACATTTGAGCGTAGGTTATGTTATGACACGTAAGCGCCAATTTTGAATTTCATTTTTTCCGGATTATTATCGGGGATAATACCACGAGAGCTTCAAAATTATCTGGTTCATTTTAAAGCTCAAGTGGTATTTAGAGGATTATTTCACGTATGAGAATGCAAAAAATATGGAAATAAATATGTATTAAACGATTTAAACATCTTAACAATCAATACAAATAAATGGTTGTTATCAGGAACCGTTTGTTTGTATCAAAAGTGAGCATAACAACCATGTATACAATAACATGGGAGAATTATCGCTGTAATTCTCTCTAGTTAAACAAATGGAAAAGAGAATTTTCGCTGTAATTCTGAAAATCGTCACTTGTCTTATGGGATTTCTAACACATGAGTGGAATAATCGATTTTATCTTTTCTTTTTTTTCAAAAAGCAAAAGTCAGAAAACGATCCCCAGGCTCCAAAAACCCTAAAATGAAAAGTTTCATCGATATATTATGTCAAAAACTAACGGCCTGGCGACGCCGAACGTCTTTTTTGACATATTATATATAATCATGTTTTGAATTTCAAAAAAAAAAAAAAATACTATCGGATAGAGGAGCAAAAAAATACGTCAAAAAGTTAATTTGACCCTTCTCGCTGCGGCACATCTTAAGGCCGAAAAAAAATAAAAAAGGAAATTTCGATTTTGATCAGAAAAAAAATGTGGGTATCCGACACGAGGCCACTTTTTCGCCTATAACTCCGCTATTTCTTAACCGATCGTTTCGAGTCATATCTCAATTGAAAAGAGGATAAAATTACCTACAAAATGTTTTTTTATGGCGATTCCAGGCCGTTTTTGTCTTTGAGATATTGGCCATCAAAGTTGAAATTTCTTGTAATTTTTTTAAAATTTTCGAGGTCGATTTTCTCGAAAACGGTGCCCTGTGGAGGGATACTTCTTATAGGCTTTTTTGTAGTACTCGACGAGATCTATAAGTTTTAAATTTGAAGTTTTTCTCCCAAGCTTTTCGTTTTCGAGTTAGGACGGTTTGAAAATTAAAAAAAAAAAAATCGAAGGCTATACATACCCTTTGAACTTTTTTGAAGGAAATTTCGATTTTGATCAGAAAAAAATTGTGGGAATCCGACACGAGGCCACTTTTTCGCCTATAACTCCGCTATTTCTTAACCGATCGTTTCAATCAACTAACCCAAACTAACCAAAACTAACCTTTTTTTTTTAATATCAGCGGGGGGTGTGTCGGGATGGCGTCCTGTTCTAAAGAGCACCGACGGCTAAAACCCTTTACCCCTCTAAATTTCCTGCCTGAAGCATTTGGAACCGCTTTAGCATTACTTCAAATGATACAGTGGCCTAATATTACAGTCTCTCTATTGGTACTCTGGGGGTCCTTCTTCGGCCCTTCTCTCATCCTTGCACTTCTCTTCCATGATGCCCTCTATGATCCTCCGTATTTCCTCCCATTGTCCGCTGCTTTTCTACATTTCCTGTATTATGTTCTCCGTCGTCAGCGTAGTCCCCAGTCGTCGGTCGCAGTTTCCCCTTTGTGCTCTGTCCAGTGATCACATACAAAGATAGTGTGCTTGGCGGTGTCCCGATCCCCACAATAGATGCATTCGTCGTCGCTTGATTTGTTTATATCGTACGTGTAGCTCCGGAAGCTGCTGTGCCCTGTAAGCATTTGTGTGAGGTGGTAGTTCGTCTCTCCGTGTTCCCGTTCTGTCCAGGTTCTCAGCTCTGGAATAAGTCTGGCCGTTCATCTTCCGTGTCTGCTGTTTTGCCATCGGTCCTGCCATTTTCCCATGAGTGCGTCTCGGGCTTCCTGACGCGCCTCCTTCTTTCGATTGGGGTCAGCCTCATATACGTGTATAGCCTCTTCTACTAACAGGTCTATTGGCGGCAGCTCGGCTATCACTAGCAGTGCCTCTGTAGAGGTCGTTCTGTAGGCACTGGAGATGCGGATCGCCGCCATTCTTTGTATCCTACTGAGCATGTTACAGTGGTTCTTTTTCCGTATTGCAGACCCCCAGGCGGCGGCTGCATACATAAGTATGGATCTCCCCACTGAGCATACCAATCTCCTTTTGCTAGCCTTTGGACCCCCAATATTGGGCATTAGCCTTCCTAGTGCCATCATGGCCTTGTTTGCTTTGGCGGACGTCTTCCTTATGTGTGTACTGAAGGTTAGTTTTGAGTCTATCCAGACTCCCAGATACTTAATTTCTGGCTTTGTGTCAATCTGTCTGCCCAGTACTTCGAAGCTCACTTCCGGGACTTGTCTCTTGGACGTGATTATAACTGCTTCCGTCTTTTCGCTTGCCAATTGCAGGTGCTTGCTTTGTAGCCATTCTTCTATTCTTAGTAGCGCTATCCCTACCTTGACCTTCATTTCCTCTACGTCGCGCGCCAGTACAAGCGCGATGTCGTCTGCATATCCCACCAGAGTAACGCCCTCCGGTTGCTCGAGGTCGAGCAGTCCGTCATAAAGTAGGTTCCAGAGTGTCGGTCCAAGGACCGATCCCTGCGGTACCCCACATGTCATGTTTATCTGTGTCGTCCTCTCTTCAGCTTCAATTATGATCTGTCTCTCGGTGAGGTAGTCTTGCAAGAGCCTTATCATGTATGGGGCCGCCCCTCTGTCTTCGGAGTGTCTACCGAAAAAGTGTCAGGAGGTCGTTTTATGTCTTATTTAAATGTTATTAGAAAATTGGTAAAGTTTCAACTTTTATTATTTTAAACATTTGGACTTTTTTTTTCAACATGTTTGGCATACCGCAGTCAACCGTTGTCCCGCTAACAAGGTGGCAGGAGTTCATTTTCTTGATCATTGATATCAATACTACAAAATAAAAGATAAATCAAGTTTTATGAAATGGGACAATGAAAAGTGTCGCCAGCTCCCGTACTAAAAACAAATCAAATCACAACAAGGTACAATAGGGAACTTGCACATTTTTTTTTATTTCAAAAATGTGTTCTACTACACTAAAGACATAGTCATGCCAAATATCAAGCATTAAAAATCAGCCGTTAATTTTTTATAAATATTTGAAGTTACGCTCGAAACATCGCCATTTGAAACGACCTATTAGTGTGACGTCACTCGGCAACAAAATTCCGATGACAGTGACAAGCACTTCGAACTTTGAGCAGGTAGATTAAGATTATGGTTATGTTGTTATATATGCAGTTTCTGATAGATTTGACATTAGCGACACCAGCCAGCATATGACGTGGCAGCGGCGCGACCCGATTATTACTGTCTTGTGACGTCACGACCCATAGAAACACTTTTTTGATTGCGTCATGAATTTCGAATTATTTGGTATTTTCAATTGAAGATTTTGGACACCAGAGATAAGATATTATATTTTTTTCCTAATTGCATAATTTATTAGAATGATTATTATTGTGTTATATTATTTATTTCATATTTAATTTAATGTGCAAGTTCCCTATTAGGCTAAGGTTATAAAATAACGGATGCGAACAGGCAAATTTTACTGTTTTCCGGTAACTCTAATTTGAAAGTATGATACCGCTTTACTTTAAAAAAATAACTCCTGACGTTATTAACGTCCATACGCGCTATCTGATTCACCGATATCTCTCTATTGTTTAAGGGTAATTTTCAGTAGTAATAGCCCAAGGACCTTGATAATTGACCGAAAAAATTTTATAGCAGATTTCGAAAGCTTGTTGCTTGAAAACAGACCGACGCGTTAGTGAAGGTCTGTTTTCTATAAGCAACAAGCTTGAGAAAGTTATAACATTTTTGAGCATTTATCAAAGTTCGAGGGTTATTCCGATAGATATTTTTTTGACAGCAATGTCCGAGACAATGTTATAGAGTGAAAACAACCCTAAGGCTCTTTTCAGTATAATGTTGACATGATTGGGTGATTTGTGTCACATGGCAATAAATAACAAAATTTAACTGGCTGTTAGAACTGCCAAAAAGTTTTCAGCTAAATTGTAAGTTTTTTTTTTATGTTCAGAAGTATGAAGTTTAGACCTGGGGAACACATCTCTTGATAACAAGTGAATAGAATTCTAATGAAATAAATTTGTGTTTTTTTTTAGCTACCATGAGTGCTACATTGAGTGCTGACTTATCAACATTATTTGACGTAGGAGGTATAGTAGGCGCAATAGTAGCTGGCGTTGTTAGCGACAAAACTGATATGCCAGCAACCACTTGTGTCGGTATGCTAGCTCTTTCTGCACCAATGGTACCTTTTACTTTATCTATTTTCTTGCAATATTCTCAATTAATTTTTTTTCAGATGTTTGTCTACCAAAAATTAAGTGTGATTAGTATAGGCTTAAACATGATACTACTAATAATCGTGGGTCTATTGGTCAACGGTCCTTACGCCCTAATAACTACGGCAGTGTCAGCTGAATTGGGTACGCATCATAGTTTGGAAGGCAATTCTAAAGCTTTAGCGACTGTTACTGCTATTATTGATGGTACTGGATCAATAGGTAAGAATATATCTTTTACGTAAGTAATTGTAGTGTTGCAATATCAGGAAAAGTCTAGTTTTTATTAAGAGCTAATCCTCCGAGACTAGACAAAACTTGGAATTTATACTCGTTTCTTGGGAATCATCAGTGCATTCAAGTATTATTGTCTTTACCAAGTAGGAGTTTTGTGTGGAATTGTAGTCAGAATCATATTAACTAGCCGACCTCATCAAATCTGAAAGTTTATGCACAAACGCCCAGTAGAAAGCTAGAAAACATCACTTCTTAACCCTGTTTAGATTGGACCAAATCTGGTTAAAACTTGTTCATCCTTTTGCAAGGACGGCAAAAACCTAAGCTAATTATATTATCGAATCAGAAACTTAACTTTTTAAAGACACCGGACACCCTATATGTTAATAACTGATTGGATAGCTCTGCTTTTGCTGCTTTCAATGATATAAAGTTCGATAGGTCTATCTTTTTTGTTCGAGTTTTCCCGAGGGGTTAATCACTCCCCGAAATCTTGTCACAAATTCGTCCGAAATCGCCGAAATCCTATCGAAATCTTTCCGAAATCCACGAAATCACTCCGAAATCCGCCGAAATCTCTCCAAAATCTCTCAGAAATCATTCCGCATACCCAAAAATCTCTCGTAATTGGCCCAAAATTCATAAATCGGTCAACGCGGCCGTTTTTCAGTTTATACCATAGAGAATCACCTGAGTTTCTCCAAAATCACCCAAAATCTTTCAAAATCACCCGAAATCCTTCAAAATCAACCGAAATCCCTCAAAATCGCTCTAAAACCGAAATCTTGTCACGGTGAATTATCCCTCAAAATCTTTCCGAAATCCCCTCAAAATTGCTCTAAATTTGAAATATTGCCACATTTTTCCTCTAGTGAATAACCTCTCGAGTTTTCCAAAAAAATATATATCTGTTTTGTCATAAGAAACAATGTGTTAAAACAAAACTCTATATCCATAACTCATAAGGAAAATGAGATAGGTCTCCTTCCAACACATTGTTTCTCTTGACTGAAACATCTATAATTTTTTTTCTAGAAAACTGTTATAGATAGGCCTATTAGACCTTATAATATGTCATTAAAATAAGCAATAATAGAGCTATCAATGAGTTATTAATATATAGGGTTTTTTATTAATACAGAAATCAATTATTTTCATAAATAAAAAAGTTAGGAAGGCTTCACCGTATCGCTCAAAATCGAGAAACACCCTCTAGCGGCAAAACGGTTGAGGGTATCAAAAGGCGGGTTGCAGTGTTTGCACCAGTCAAGATATCATTAAATTTGAGCCTCAGCAGATTGGAGAGTTGATTTTTTTGTATCTGGCTCAAAAATTGATGTTCAGTTCAAAAGTATCCAAATTGGACCACCCTGTATCTACATTCTTTAGCGTATAAGTAAAGTAGAAATAAATTTTCAAAAAATCATTGTTGATCATTCTGAGCCTGCGCCCCCCCCTGAAGAAAATCCTGGATCCGCCACTGCAACTATGTTGTTTACCAACTTACAATGTATGTAGGGTTTCCATAATGGTTTTTCAGAATTCAGGACAAAGGAGTCAATAAATCCGGACAAAATCCGGACTTCGCCGAAATAGCTATTTATGCAACAAGTGTGTGAAGTGAACCTTTTTTCACTCATGTGTCATCGTCTTTTGAATAGTGCGTAAAGTGAGTACAGGGTGATCTATTATAAATGTCACCCCCTTCTAACTTTTTCATTCGAGATTTTTGACAAACATGTCAAATACAAAAGTTTCAATAAATTGTCGAAAGTTTTTAACTAAATTGATTTTAGGTATATAGGGTGCGTCAAAAAAGTGCAACAGTGTGAAGTTATATTTTTTTAAATGGAACACCCTGTATATTGTGCGCTTATTTGTTAGTCCCTTTTAACCTGATTTCAACGATATACGGTTTGATATGTCTATCTTCAATAGCTATAGCTCAAGGTTTCACATTGAAAAAAGAAAAATTATACCATCTAGGCTTTAGAGAACTTTTTTTATGGACAGTTTATTGTTCAAATTTTATTCATTAATATGCAAGGTGAAATATTATAATAAATCCAGATGTCTAAGTTATTATTAGTATTTTAAAAAAAATAACATGAGAGACCTAGGAAGGGATTTTCGCGTTTTTCCCTATTACTATTGGAGATAAACCGAGAAATAAACATATCAAATCGTATATCGTTGAAATCAGGTCGAACGGAACTAACAAATAAGCGCACAATATACAGGGTGTTCCATTTAAAAAAATATAACTTCACACTGCTGTACCTTTTTGACGCACCCTGTATGCCTAAAACTCTCTTCTTGAAACTTTTGTATTTGACACTTCTGTCAAAAACGTCAAATGAAAAAGTTAGCAGGGGGTGACATTTATAATAGATCACCCTTTAACTACTTTACGCACGGTACTAGAAAATAGCTATTTATTTAGCAAGTGTGTAAAGTGAACCTTATTTCACGAATGTGAATTTTGACGATCACATGAGTGAAAAAAGTTGCTTTAAGCTTCATTCTCAGTTGCACGAAATTCGCTCTTTTTTTGACACACGCATAAAATGTCAAATTGTCGAAGTAATGTCAAAAAAAAGAGCGAATTTCGCGCAACTGAGAATGAAGCTTTACACTTCACACGCGTATTGCATATCTACACAAAAATTTCTACTACCAATACATATAATATGTTTAAAAAATAATAATTAAACAAATTCACGCACTAGTGCGTAAAGTGATAATACTTTATTTTTATATATAATATTTAACAAAGTTAGGTTGTTTTCACGATCTTGATCGAGTTTTCCGGACATTGTTCTGAATTCCGGCTGGACTTCCCCGGACACCCTAAAAACCCAAACATGTCCGGGTAAATCCGGACGTATGGAAACCCTAAATGTATGCTGAAAAGCGATGGGGATTAAATATACTATATACTGCTAAAAGCTAGTAAAAAAGGTGAACAACCATATTTATTTGTAAGGAAGTTGGACAATATAACTCCTCCCTCCTTAAGTTTTTGCAAATTGAGTTTGTCAGTGCTTTGATAGGTTTGACAATTCAATTTCAACATTAGTGACATTTCGTTGTTTACGTTTCCTATAAAGTTACAATAAAATTGAAATAGTAATAATGATACTTTATATCCTACTGAACTATTATAACCATATAATACCTTGGTTACGATAATCATAAACAGGGTCTTAACTCCCAGGGGAGTTAAGGATTTCATAACTCCCGCGCGGAAGTTGAGGATTTCCATAACTTCCGCTTTTACCTTGAATAGGTAAAACTTTGAGAAAAAATTGAAATTTTGATTCATAGTTTATTCCTTTATAAAAATAGACAGAATACAGTAAATTCAGTAGGATATTCCCTTGATACATAAATAACTAGCTGACCCGGCGAACTTCGTACCGCCTCTGAATTATTAAATATACCTATTAAATGTTGTGTTAACGTATCTATTAGCTGAATTAAATTCAGTTTTTTTCGATGGTGAATTTGGCTTTGCTTGAAGAAAATTAATGTTTACTCTCTGGATCAGAAGTCACCTAAAATTGAAATTTTACATCATCCTTTTTTAGGCAGCCTGTGGGCATTATTCTTGTAAAGTGTACCACCAAATAAATAAACTCAGGCACAGGAATGTTCAAAGAATGTAAAGAAAACAAAAAATATCTCTAGCGCAGCCCTGTTTCACTCTATCTGCACTGCATGCACTGCACTACTCCATCTGTTCTACTCTATCTGCACTACTCTATCTGATCTACTCTTTCTGCACCACTCTATCTGATCGGAATAGTGGAATAGTTCTGTTCGAAATAGCTCCAGTTCCTGAGCAGCATTGTTCTACTGTATCTGCAATGCCGAGCTTCGTTCCAGGTATCAGAGATGGCGCGGTCTACAAAATACAAAATAAACTTGGTATCGGTTATAAGAGATGGCGTCGTATGCGGGCTTAGTAAATTTTTTTCATAAATTACAAAAAATGTGATAAATGAAGAACCGCTCGACCGATTTTGTGCAAACTTCACATAAACCATCTAATAAATAGTCCGAACAAAGCCTAAACATTTGGTTTGGCTAGGTGAGCCTGTTCTTCAGTTATAAAATTACAACGAAAAGTGGCATTAATTTTTATATATACAGATTATAATCCTATGATTATATACGTATTGACATTATCGGTAAAGAGAGGCGTTTAAATAAAATGTCATTTACAGACCTTCACAAATTTCTGTTTAATTTCAAATTTAGACCACTTTTCAGTGAAATGAAGTTATGTTCATAACAATAATAGATTGGAGTATAGAGTCCGTCCATAAACTACAGTAGCGCCTCTTTCAACAGCAATGTAAGTTCTTGTATTATGACAAGTGCTTGATTCCATTTACACAAATGTAATTTTTGTTATTAAAAACGATTTCAAAGCGAAATATTTTTCATTATAAGGGTATGGTTGTTTACACGGAACAATTGTATTTAATTTCACTTTTTTTCTTGTAATTATTATTTGGCAAACGCTTTTTATTATCTTTTATTCAGGCTATTGTGCATACCCACTACTTGTCATGCCTTCACCCAGGAACAGTTTCACAAATTATTGTGTTGTTAACTGTGGCAATAATTATGCCAACACAAGTGGAAATGTTCAAATCAAATCAAATCAAATATGCTTTATTGTCCAAAATACAGGGTATTCATTGACAAAGCCTTATAACTACTTATAAGTATGTATAAATGTCACTAGTACTTCTAAAAAATATAAAAAACAAATACTTAAATCTAGTGTTTATCTTTTTTTTCCGTTCTTGATTACATTCCACCTCAATTTGAAAATTAAAACAATACAGATTAAAATTAAAATACAAAAATAACTTAAAAGAAAAACATTACAAATTTAAATAAAACAAATTAGATAAAACAATCACAACTATACAGATGTGGCTCCAACAATAGGTACATCACAGCAGGAAAAG